CTCGTGTAACTCGAGAAATTCCCCTATTGAAAAGCGTCGCTGACTAGTAAAAGATTGTACGCGGGCGCAGAACGAGTTTTCATTCAGCAAAATCGAGCCGCAATGTTGTTTTTACTGTTTTGTTTTTGTCAAATTTTCGATTTATTTGAGTGCTATGGACAGCCAAGGATTATTGTGAAGGATTAAATCGATAAAAACAAGGTTGAAGCTAATTGAATCCTGCCGTTTACTCAATCTATGAGCTGTAACAGCCTATTAACAGGTGGACGTGTTTTTTTGTTTCATGTTTGGTTTTGTACTTTTTGCTAAAAATGAACAATTAGGCTATGAAACTGAAATATTTTTCTGTTTACATATAATCACTTTAATCTTGTAGAAACACGACTAAAAACGTGAACGTTTTCTTGAGAAGTAAACAACGTTTGTATACAATTTTGCAAATGTTTTACAGTTGAGTCAGTTGGCAGTGAATAAAAAAATTTAAAAATATTATTTCGTAGCTATTTTTTGGTCTAGTGATATTCGTATCATATGTAGAATTGCTGTATAGACTCGCAAGTGATTTGGCACTCAAAACGAAGTATTATTCAACGCTTTTTTCCATTAGAAACCTTTCAGAAATAGCTTTATTTTAAAAAAAAAGCATGGTCAATTTTTGTTTTGTTTTGATCATGCAGTTGCGTGGAATAGTTCACGTACTTGTCCCGCGAACATCCCGCACGGAACTGTAGGGAGCCTCCTTAAAGGCCGTTTTCCACTAGGCGAATTTTTTCGCGCGACGCGAAGCGAAAACCGAAATCCGGCAACGTGATTGGTCGGCGAAAAAATTCGCGGCGAAAAAGTAGGATCGCTTCCTACTTTTTATCTGTTCGCGCGAACAAATTCGCCTAGTGGAAAACGGGCTTAAGTGTCATCGATGGTCCGGGTAGTCCCTTATCGGTTCGAAGAAACGTAAACACGTTCGACTGCGTCTGCCGTGTGGCGTTGTACGGCTTTAATAATACAAGTAGCAGTAAAAACACTATTTGACGCAACATAATTGTGGACGTTTAAAGGGCTCACGCCAAAAGTATACGTATAGCTGTAGACTTTTTAATTATTTTCCACTTGATTCAGCCAAAAGAGTACGTCTTTTCTTCTGCTCAATCTTACCACAAATTTATCAGTCAATTCGTGGTGAATAAACCACTGTATATGCTTTTGCGCAGAACCTTGTTTACACATCGGCTGTATAAAAACGCAGTCTTTTATCGCAGATACCTATTGTAAGCGGACACCTTTCGTTAGCGGACACCATTTAAATATCGAGAATGTCAATGAAAGGTAATTGAGGCTAGCCTGCGTAGCAGGCGCTATTTTGGGGGGGGGGAGGGCGAAAAATGGAAGGGGCGTCGCCCCTTCCATTTTTCCTCGCTCTTGCCTTCGCATTCCCCCTAGCTTTTCCCACCCTCGCCCTCCCCCCTAAATAGCGCCTGCTACGCAGGCTAAATTGAGGCTTGAATTACAATTTCTAAAACTATATAATAATCACAAGCAATTTATTATATTTACGTCTATTATATTACTATAGTTACGACCTTTGCTGCATTGTGTCCATTGTATTGCCGTTAAAATAGTTTTTTTATCATTTAAAAAGCTGGAATATATGTGCCTACGTAATATTCTGCCCACGCGTACGTTACTTCATTATGGAGTCCCGAGGTAGGAGTTCGCGAGGGGAGGGGAGTGGTGGCCTAAATCCCATTTCTCGCCCATCTTTTAAACCAAACCCCCGTCCCAAATGTGAAATTGAAAAAAAACAGGTTGAATGAAAACCCAAAGAAATGTATTTCATGTACAGTGTGTATAAAAAAAAAACTGACTACAGATTTGAAATTGCTCTCAATTTCGCAAAACAGCTATTAGTATCCAGTTTTTGATATATATAGTTTCTTTGGGTACTTATAATGTAGAATAATGGAAGAAAATTCTCAAACTTAACTTTTGTAAACCAGGGGTGTGTGTTTTTTCAACAAACTAAAGATGGCTTGCGCACGAAATTTAAAAGCTTTAATCGTATTTTGAGTTAATGGATGGAAACTTTGTTGGGTTTGTTGCGTGAATAGTTAAAGGGCTTAAACTGAAGCAAATTTTCTGAAATTTCGTGCAATTAAACACCCAACACATTTTCACCCATTAAAGGGGAAGTCAAGTCCGTAATGTAAACAAACGGTTTGTTTACATTTTGAACTGCTGCATTTTTTAAAATATGATGTACTGTCTGAATATCTAACACCATTTTGGTTCGCTATGCTTCTAAATGAATATGAAATAAAGTTTATGTTCAGAAAAATTCGAAACATTCGAAATTTGGGCAATTTTCACATTAGAGGTCCTCTCATTGTTATGCGCAGAACAGATGCGCAGAACGGACTTGACTTCCCCTTTAACTTACAATACAATTAAAGCTTTTAAATCACGTGCGCAAGCCATTTTTAGTTTGTTGGAACCCCGGTTTTACAAATTTGAGTTCGAGAAATTTTTTTCATTATTCTACATTATAAGTACCCAAAGAAACTGTATATATCAAAAACTGGATACTAATAGTTGTTTTGCGAAATTGAGAGCAATTTCAAATCTGTTCAGTTTTTTTTATACACCCTGTTTTTGTGTTGATTTCGTAGCTCTGCGTTCATTTGCTCTCTTTACGGCTAGTTTGCCGCGTGATTAAAGGTTCCAACGAATTAAGAAGTCTATAAATATTTGTCATTTTGTGCAATTAAATACTGACGTGTAGCATGGAATACACTTACATGACCCGCCAAGTCCGCCGTGTGCTGACTCACAATGGAGCCGAAAAAATACAATGCAACGTTCATGGACTTTTCCATCAATCGTAGCTTCAATTTTCCCAGACCAATAATAAGCAAATCCCAGTTCCCTCTTGAGTCCATTAGGTTGCATTGTGATTTGGCTTGAGCGTTGCCTGAAATGACGTAAAGCTTGAGACATTAAGACAAATAAAAAATTTTTTTATAAGAACATTAGGCAGAATTTAAAGAATTTACCAAGATATACCGAAGATTGTGGCAATTGATACACCAGACGGAAAAGATAAAGAGCAGAGCCCAGCAAATTACTTTAAATCCAAACATAATAAAAGTAAAAAAATTATTAGCTAACGTTTCGTTGTTTACAATACAACATCTTCAGAGCAATCTAAATGAATTTACAGGGTATGGTATATATATTTACAAAATAATGGTTTAATTAATATTACAAAAACGGTTACATAGTTTGAAAGAACAAATGAATAGAAAGAAAGAAAAACAACTTATCAGTAACTAGTTAATAATTAAAGATTAATGTATGGTTAGTATAGTTAAGGTTAATATTACATAACTAAAATAACTCAAGAGGGGTAGATCTAATATTAGCATTAAGGACAGGGTTAAGTTGAGATATTAATAGGCTTTCACGGATATGAGTGGGATCTTCCTCTTGAGTTATTTTAGTTATGTAATATTAACCTTAACTATACTAACCATACATTAATCTTTACTTATTAACTAGTCACTGATAAGTTGTTTTCCTTTCTTTCTATTCATTTGTACTTTCAAACTATGTAACCGTTTTGTAATATTAAACCATTATTTTGTAAATATAATTATATACCATACCCTGTAAATTCATTTAGATTGCTCTGAGGATGTTGTATATTGTAAACAACGAAACGTTAGCTAATAATTTTTTTACTTTTATTATGTTTGGATTTAAAGTTATTTGCTGGGCTCTGCTCTTTATCTGTAAACTAATACCGAAGATCGTTCAAAGAATATCGTTCAGAGGAAATTATGGAAGCATATGATTCGCTGTGATGAATATATTACAGACAACTCCAAGAGTACATTGTGGTTACTGTACTCTGAAGTTTAAGAACGTCGTCAGAATATTTTAAGCCTAAATTTGTCGGGAAAATATCCAAAGATTTATCGTTTCATTACGTGAAATCTTCAAAGCCACGCCCAACCGAAATTCAATTCGATACATGCAAAATGCGGCGTATAAAACCACCTCGTACTACTTTGCTCGCATTATGCGACCTCACCGGTAGAATTTAAAGTTTTAGAATTTCAATTAATTAACGTCGAATTGAATTGTTTCACACGTCGAATTTCGCATGTACATAGTTCAAGCTATTGAATTTGATACATGCAAAATGCAACGTTTGAAACAGACCTCAGACATCAGAACATTGAATGTTATTGTACAATGTTGTAGAGATTTTTTGTAGTATATTTTAAAAATACATTCCAAAGGTGATTAGGTTTGATCAGATTACTAATTGATTGGAAAGTAAAACACACATAATTGTCATTAAGAATTATATCATTTTACGATACCTGAAGTGTGGATCTCCACAGCTTGAAACTATATAATATCGACAGTACAGATCTAAATTCATCTATTTTATTAATTATCAATCATCGCCTATATCAAATTACAACATGCAAATCAATCAAGTTGAATCAAAGTTGAATCAAATCAAATCAAAAGAGGTAATAAGATGTATATGAATAAAGAAACCATAATATCTATGACAGTCCGAATCAACCGTGTTGTCCATTTCTTTCAGTTACGTTGGCAGAATCCTTAAAATCTTCCGCAAATTCGGCTGTCAAAGGTCGACCAGGAACAGTTTCTGTTGGAACAACTTTCTCTGCAGGAAATTTGCGTGGAGCACCGTCAGTTGAGTGGATGTCAGGTGGTGTTGTAAAAGTATTGGTTTGGAGAGCTGTGAGTGTTGAAGCTGTTTTCATATTTGCATCCACCAATTTTGGTGCTAGGAAAGAAACAGGAAAAATAAATAATACTGTACAGAGCACGGTTGTGCGAAGGACGGATATATATAGCTATCCAAGCATGCATGTTGATTAATTCAGTGTAAATTGAGCAAATAAGTATTATTTTAATACCTTGGATATAAAGAACATTTAACGAAATAAGATTCTTAATCGTTGGTTCCAGATGAATGACCGAGTGTCCATTGATGTCAACCGTTCGGTTGGTGGTAGCATCGACTGCACTTACACTCAACCATTTCTTTGTCTTCCATTGTTTACTTTTGACAACTTTTTTTGTTAGTTTCAGATGGTCGATTTCCAACTCACCAGACACGTTTGTCGTGACAAGTACATCGCCTTGATAATTATTCACCAAGACAAACATAGCAAAGAATCTATTTTCGTCTAGAATGTGTGAAAAGCAAACTATGTCTTAAGATCTTGAAATAAGATTAAAAAATAAAACATCAAATAACGGCGAACACAGCAAGTCTGCATGTAGATATTAAAATAATTTTGAATAAATTATTCATTATTTTTCATTAAATAATCTCAATATTTTAAACCAGAGGAACGTTATGCACAATTATAACAATCAATCATCGCCTATATCAAATCAATCAAGTTGAATCAATATACAATCACTAATCAAATTAAGTAATAAGATTTATATGAATAAAGGAAGTATAGTATCTAGGACTGTTCGAACCAACCGTGTTGTCCATTTTCTTCAGTTACTTTGGAAGAACCCTTAAAATCTTCCGCAAATTCGGCTGTCAAAGGTCGACCAGGAACAGTTTCTGTTGAAACAACTTTCTCTGCGGGAATTTTGCGTGGAGCACCGTCAGTTGAGTGGATGTCAGGTGGAGTTGTAAAAGTATTGGTTTGGAGAGTTGTGAGTGTCGAAGCTGTTTTCATATTTGGATCCACCAATTTTGGTGCTAGGGAAGAAATAGGAAAAATAAATAATATTGTATACAAAGCTCGGTTGTGCGAAGGACGGATATATAGCTATCCAAGCATGCATGTTGATTAAGCAAGTATTATTTACCTTGGATATAGAGAACATTCAACGATATAAGATCCTTAATCGTTGGTTCCAGATGAATGACCGAGTGTTCATTGATGTCAACCGTTCGGTTGGTGGTAGCATCGACTGCACTTACACTCAACCATTTTTTTGTCTTCCATTTTTTACTTTTGACAACTTTTTCTGTCGGTTTCAGATGTTGGATTTCCAATTGACCAGACACGTTTGTCATGACAAGTACATCAGCGTGATAATTATTCACCAAAACAAACATAGCAAAGAATTTATTTTCGTCTAGAATGTGTGAAAAGCAAACTATGTCTTCAAATCTTTAAATAAAATTAAAACATGAACTAACGGAAAACACAGCAAGTCTGTAGATATTAAAATAATTTTGACGAATATTTTTTAATAATCTCAATAATACTCCAATATGGAAATTGGGTGTTGAGAGTCACGCCAAATTTTCATTAAGGCTAATAACAGTACGAGAATTTTATCAAATAAAGAGAACAGCAGTACCAAAATTACACATGAAAAAATTATGAATTTTACTCAGTTCCAATTTGTGAATATTTTTATAATATTTTATCACGGCCATTTTGAATATTTTTGTTTCTTCATCTTCGGGTGTGCCTCCGAACAGAAAAGAATTGGATTAACAAAATTTTTAGTGAGTAAAAGATTGGGTTAATGAAAACTAAAACAACTCAAGGGTTGGGTAATAACATATTTTGTCTTTTCAAAAGCTTGATCCACTAAAATATTGAAGAATAAAGTGTCAACAGTCGTATGTTAATACAATATGTGAATCAATCCGAATCACTATCTTGATCATTTTCCGATTTGTCAGGAGGCAAATGGTAGCTACAGTATCTCCAAAGAAAGTACAAGTGCAAAAGGGCACGTGTGACAACTGAACGGTATCCTTTGGTAAAGTTTTTTTTTGCCGGTAGTGGGTGTTCATTTTTTGATTGATATTTGAGGTTGGGAAAAAAATCACATTTAAGGTTTGGATCGGCAAAATTCTTACCAAGAAAAACGTAAATAATGACCGATCCCTAACTGGAGAAATGTACTAAAATACCATTAATAAAATAATTGAACTCCTCTCAACCAACCAGAATTCACTATTTTTCATGTGAATAATAATTACTTTTTCATTGACTGCAAATTAATTAGCATTTTCATTTACCTTTACATTGCTTGTGATCGTGGGCGCCTTGCCCAGCGGTTATAAATCCTTCAGGACACTTGATGCAAGATGTTTGACCGGGATTTGACTGGTAAAAGTCACGAGGACAAATATTGCACGTCGCCACGCCATTCTGCAGTGTCCCATAAGACCCAGGTGGACAATCAACTGGAAGATAAGCAGTAGCAGTAACAATGTAAAAAATTCAGCTTCACAAATGACAGCATGAAAACTGCGATTACATATTTAAATGTGACAGTATAGCATTTGATAGCAATAAGCTAAATTAAGTGAAGGTTATAAAATTGATTCTGTGTAAGATAGATAAATAAAATGTAGTCTGTGTACAAGTTTCAAAAGACTTGGTTAATATTAATCAATTATTTGTTTTTAGAGAGTTAAAAATAATTTAGAATTTAAAAAGTTGATAATGTGCAAAATAATTGTTTCAAACCTCAGTTGTGCACGTTTAAAACGTGAAAATGACTTACCGCATTTATAGACATTTTCGACCAAGAATTGACGCTTTGGACAAATCAGCGACATCGCCATGATATTCAAAGAATTCTTCTCCACAGAATAGTTGGTTTTGCCCAATGAGAAGGTAATCCTGTCTGCATTGGTTTCGTTCCCTAATTGGCCAATTAAGCTTTTCAGCTGGTAAGTTGCCCTGATCATTCTATCTATCTGATGTGATGGCGTACTATTTAAGACTGCGTTTGACGTTACATTCTCACCAACGACGCTGAATGTCCAATCACAGATTTCTGTGCGGCTAGATCTGTCGTTATGTCGCGTAATAATTCTGCAACCGGTTGGATGTAATCCTTT